GTAAAATGTCAGCCAGTAAAAAACCAGTTACATTAAATGAGTTAAATTTTTCTTGTTTGCCACATAATAAACATCTTATTAACCGAGCTTAGTCGGTCTGTATTGGAGAATCTTGACCACGGTCGTTTGTACAGACCTCACTGCGTTCGGTCTGTACTCACAACCGAGGTGAAGATTCTCCCATACCGACCGACTAAGCTCGGTTGATAAGAGCTAAATATTAACTATTCAGTGACAGCAGATGACATTGAACTTTGTTGCAGATTGTTCCCTTCAGCAGGTTTGATCTGCTGTCTTCTTGGCGAGGCATAAAGACCGTTTGTTTGCTTCCAGGTTGAAGTTCGTCATAACGGGCTTCAGAATCGCTATTTACTTGGAGGGGCTTCTTAACTGCATGGCAATCATATAAGAACATTGTAGGAGTCAGTTTCAATAAATAATATTATAAGTTTTCCTAGGTTTGAGTCATGAAAAATGAACAAAATGAACTTTATTACTCTGTCAAAAACCGAACTACAAAATACTTCTTTTATAATTTCCGTATAAAATGAAATTAATACTTCTACCTCTGACATGTGTCACAGGGAGAGAAAATAATTGCTCCTTAGTTGACAGATTGGGAGACATAAGCGACATGTTGAGATGAAATCGCCAAACTGGGAATTGCATCTAAAATATTCAAATTTGCTACGCCAGCTGCAGGCCTCTTAAACCGTCAAAGCGCGGTTTTCAGTTTGGCTATTTTGAACTCGATTTTATGTCTAATTTCTCACAGTCTGTTCAATGGCAAACAGCCAAAAATGGGGCAATATTCAGTTTTTCTTCCTTTTTGATACGGTTTAGAGGTATTATTTTATTTTATACGGGAAAATAAAAAACCGGTACTTTCCAAAACTCAAATATATGGACTCTGCAACCGCTTCCTTGAGGAGCTCTAACTGTCAGAAAGCTCATACAAGGAGCAACGAGAGAAACCATTTAAATTTTTCCGAATCTGCTTAAAACTCGTTTTCTAGCATTTCTGAGAAATTCCTTTCACGTGAAGTTGAGGAAAGCAGGAATAGCGCAGTGGTGAGAGCGCTCGCCTCTCACCAATGTAGCAGGTTCGATTCTGGTGCCACATGTAAGTTAAGTTTGTTGTTGGTTCTCGCCTTGCTCCGAGAGTTTTTTTCCGGGTTCTCCGGTTTTCCTCTCTCCACAAAAACCAACATTCCAAAATCTAATTCGACCAGAATGAAGGACCCGGTAGAAAACCAGCTAAGGTTGAAGTGGCTTCTTCTCTAAAAATTATATATTTTTTAAATTTTAAGTTACTGACAAATGATTGATTAGAAATGAAATTTCTCCCCCTCTATTTTTTTCGTAAGGCTGTTTCATGGTAACCTAATGTTAATTTCTAGTTCGTGCAAGTGAAACTGTGTGAGGAAGGTTAACCTATGAAATATTCTTCTCTCTATCTTATGTTTACTTTACTTAATTTCTAAAAGTTTATTAACAGTCTAATCGTATACGTGAAACTTGTAAAAAGTTAGAATAAAAACCTCTACACTTGAAGTTTGTACTTTAAATTTCTAACCTACAAAACTAGCTACTTCAGTACAGTACAACTGGCAAGTTATCATAAAATTTTGTTACAGCATCATGCAAAAACAACGTTTAATATATTTCGCCTTACTCTGTATGGAATACTATTTGTATGAGAGGCTGCTTGGGCGTGCTGGAAGCTTAGTTATCGGATAATGATCCGCTTATTTCACAGCTTTCAGTTAAAATTATATTTCATCCTATTTTCCAGTTATCAGTAAATTTTGCAGATCTCATGCTGGCGGGCAAAAAAAAAAAGCGCGTCATTTTTCAGCTGCTGGTTAAATTAAAATATTAAGCAATTCTCAGGTATCAATTAAACACCATCTTCACCCATAAGTTCAAGTCGACAATGACTGAACTAACCCGATAAACAGCAAAGTGCTTCTCTGATTGTTTCCTTGACTGCTTGCTTCACTTCGCTGATCTTCCAGCAGTAAAGAAATGGGTTTAACGATGAGTTCACGAAAACTAAACTCACTGCTAATTCCAAAATGAGAACACTGGATGGAGAAAATTTCGCGGTATAATCAAATAAAGCCACTACTATACCATATGGTAAATAAAAAGCTACTAGTGTACACTGCACCCACAGTACACCGGAAACTGCTTTTCTGTATCGCTCTATGTTGAGTGGATTTATATGGCTTGTTTGTTCTTGTTGGACCTGACCCTCCTGATGGCGGAGTTTGAGGAAAATCTTTGTGTACGAGGCGATTGAGGTTACTACACAGCACGGTACAAGTAAATAGCCAAACCAAATGGTTATTAGGCGAGTTAAAAGGTACAATATCGAAGAAACAGCGGCCATAATCCAAAAGATTACTACAGTCACATATGTTCGCTTCAAAGTTACAACTTGTCTAAATCTCAGCCCTAACAACAGGGCGAGAAGTCTGTCCACGCTTATTGCGGTCACTGTCAGCAAAGATACTGAACACAAAGTGTAGCTAGCAATGATAAAGGAGGGAGCTGCGTAGCGACAAAGATTCCATTCTTCGTGAGCCACAGACATCCAATAGACAGCACTGAGAGGCTCTGCAACAAGACCAACACAGAGATCAGTTGTGGCCAAACATCTAAACAAGAGTTTGGTCGGCGGATGAAGGGAAGACACCTTGCGAAGGGCAACGAGGATCAGAATATTGCCAAGAACTGCAGTGATGGAGAGAAAAGCGTGGAACGCTGAAAGATGTTTTAAATGTTCATGTATTCCACTTGCCCAGGCGGCTGAACATCGGATTTGTAGAACTGTTTGAGTTTGCTGTCCTTCACCAGTAAAATTCATTATTTTACATTACAGAAAGCTGTAGTATTGACGACAGATGTTTCATCAGACCATATACAGGAACAAGTAAGCTTCGGCATTGTATGCTGTATTTTTAAATTCAGAGCGCTGAGCTGAAGCTTTTGTGTTCCTGTGAAAGTAAGTGCTACAATGACCAAACGTTTATTTCTGGAATTTTAAGGTGTGCCACATAGAATTCGACGAAAGATTTAAAAGGCCGTTTATATTTTGCAATTATCTTCATTGCTTCTGGAAATATTTAAGTTTGAAAAACGTCTAAAATATGCAAATGAGAGGACTGATGTCATACACTCAACCCAATATTACCTCAAGTATTTAAATCGGAGCTATATCGGTCAATTTACAGCAGAAACCATTGAAACGTGGTAAGTTATTAGTTCTTCAAGCGACACATCGTACACCTACAGCTAGAAAAAGCTCTATTCCCATGGCAACTCACTCGTTTCCAGTCAAAAAAACTGTAGACAAAGAAAACTCTGTCACTATTTTAGTGACTACGACCGAAAGTGGACAGGACATAAATAAACATTGCAGAGGGAGAAAGGACAAAAAAAAAAAATGCTTTTTGCAAGATAATGTTGCACAACTTACTTTGCAAGTAAAAGAGTGAAGCTGAATTGGAAACAAAAAGCCATAATTAGGGCCATTTAAACGAGGAAAATAATGCGCAGCTTACATAAGACGCGAACTTACCGCGTAAATCACTCGCCTGCGGCTCGTGATTTACGAATTCTTCTCGTGTTCTTCCAACATCCCGCGTGGTTTATCAGCCTATAAACCATAAAAACTTGTGGTCTATTGCTTAAGTATTGACAATCTTATTAATTTGTATATTTTTGTGAGCATCTCTACAAATAATTATCCATAGTTGTATTTTTCGATTAAGCAAGATGAATTATGTTTTAAATGTTTCTTGTCCAACCTTTTGATAATGAGCTCACAATTAGTCATATTTTGCTGTAGAAATCTCAGCTACCCGTAAATCCTTGAATTAGCGCCCCCCCCCCCCATTCGAATAAGCGCCCCTTCAAACAAGCTCCCCACCTGTCGGCCAAAATTTAAAATAAGCGCCCCCCCTCTCCTCCCCCCATGTTGTGGACAAGTGATTGAGACAACAAAGGATGTATAGTTTCCGTCGTGTAGTAATAGATTTGTACAATATTTCAGTTTGTGAACACGTTCAGTTTGAAAAAAAAAAATTACAAATACTAAAGGTGCCGCGATTTAAACTTAAGTTTCAGTTTTTCATATCGATAAACAGCTTATGTTGTTGTTTACGCGCAGATGATGTATTAAAAAATTGATCATGTCACGCCACGATTAAAAGCCCCCTCGAATAAGCGGCCCCCGTCTTCTCCTAAATTTCAAATGAGCGCCCTGGCGGTAATTCGAGGATTTACGGGTAAGTTTTGTAACTTTGCGGTCAGATTTTCTGTATATTGTTTGGCCTTCTGGTTTGAGTTTGAAAATCTCAAACTAGTCAAAACAAAAGCAGTTGTGTACAAGAACAAATTATTTATACATCGGTTAACATTTAATCCTGGGTTAGCGTTAACTGGCTTCCGAACAGAAAGTTTGACACTAACAAATTAGGAAATTGAATGACATGTTTATTCAGTTCTTTTGTTTGTGTCCCCTAGGCTTCGCTATCAAGCTGAATTTTAATATATCACCTCTGATATCAAAGTGACCTCCCACCACAGTGAAATCTTATCTTCCCGCGTATGGATTTGCCTTCCCGTAGGGTTCCCGCCCCCATGTCGACCCCCACTATTCCCGAGTCCCGCCCCAGTGTTTCCTTTTCGCGATTTCTCTTCTGAAAATTCACCATCCATAGCGTGACGACGTAACTAGATAAAACATTGACAAATTTCACAACTTGACCGCAGGTGTGAACCGAATATTCAGAATATCTGGAATCGAATCTATCAACACGGGCAACTCTACAGAAACCTTCAATAAAAAGGTTATAAATCGCCGTCGTGTTTTGTAAACTTTAGCCGAAAAATAAACATTACACCATTTTCTAATTTTACCAGTTTCCATGGCAGCTGTGACGTGTACTGGTTCGAACGAATCATGAACAAAATCTACTTCGTCATCTGTCGCTTCATTTCCGCGACGTGCAAAGCAGTTGTGTGGCACTTTGTGTAGTTTCAATTTCGATAAAGAGTTGATGTATATTTGGTCGTTTTCGCTTTCTTTGGCCTTAATCTGCTTCACTTGCAGTGTTCATTCACAGTCACTATGCAACGATGATTCGGAGTGTGATCAAAGCCAAGTGTGCTGTGTTGTTTGTACTTCGCGATCATCTTGCAACCGAGGGTGCACAAGTGATGTTGATTGCTCATACGGGAATGAATGTGACACCTACTCGGGGAAATGCGTAACTCCGACTGATCCAACGACCTGGTCATGGTTCTCAGCTTTTCCTACCTCAATCAAACAATACACGCTGCCAGATATCGACCGGTGCTATTGGGATAGTGACTGTTCTGGAAACACCAGATGCATAGGCGGACAGTGTGTAGACCACGAGGACTACGATCATTACGACACTACTCACGATGAAGGAGGGTTGTCATGGAGCGCAACCAAAATCGTTGGAATCATCTTTTTCGCCGCTGTAGCGGCAGTCCTTTCATGTCTGTATCACATGTGCAGGAAAGCCAGAAAACCGCCTGTACTCGCCACGCGAAATGCCCAAGCTAGAACAGGAGTGGCAGGGGAAGCCACAAATACGGCTCACGGCACTGATCATGAAATGCGGCCACCAAGAAATGCTGTTTCTAATGGCGGTGTCGTGATTGCAGTGCTAGAAGTAAACGAAGTTTCTCCTCCTTTACCTCCTGGTGCACCGCCACCTTACAGTACACTGGATTTCGAGCCTCAGCAACGAAATGAAAACGAGGAACAACCTCCTCCAAGTTATGACGAGGCTGTTGGGAATTCTACAATGGCTCTGGTGTAGATTTCATTCGTCCGAGAGATTAGATATAGTCGACCAGGCGATTACCTCAATAAAGGACAGCACTTATCACATTATCATAAGGGAAAAAAAAAAACGGTTTTGTTGAAGTAATAATTTTAAGTTTTACAAACATGATATTTTTGAGTAACTCGGTTGTGTACGAGTTTCATACCAGTCAACAGTCATACTATGGAGTAGTCAACTAATCTGGTACAAGTCAGACTGGTTTAACCCAGTCATGATGCTCAACTTGCGCAAATAACTTTGACCAATTTATTTCCGACTGTTACAATGTTTTTATGCTGTGGCTATAATGTGCAGCAGC